CTGCAAGAATACTCGTAAGTTTTCTTTAAGTTAACTTTACATCATACTTTAAGTATACTACTATGTCCCTATTTAGGTATTAATTTTGTTACATGAATATCTGAACATACAAAACATCAAAAGAACAGGGTATCTGCTTGTAAACAAAAACATTTTATTCTAGCTTCATGCATTCTTTTTTTAAACACTTAAATGTGGATAAGTTTCATAAATAAAAAATAAAGAAATAAACAACATTTTGAACAAAAAGCTGAAAAAAGACTATGAATTGGATTCAGAATGATAATCAAAACGTAGATAAAGTCGATCAACACCCCAAAGCTTGACAGTCATTATTACCTCTTCATTGGTCGACATTTTATTCCATAATGTTACACAGTTTTGATACTGTTTTATGTCTGATGATCGTGTTAGAATACATGTGGAAGCATCTGTTGTTTCGGTTTCTTCTTCACTTGTGTTTTTTGGAAATTCTGTACAGATGTGTACTAGCGCCCTCTACAGTATAACAATGAAAACACGGATTCTAGGAGCACAATTATAGCTAAAATATATTTAGACTTTTTCTAAGTATAAGTCAAGTATACTTAAATGTCATTTTAAGTGTATTTCTGAGAAGTACATAAAAAGTAGACTAAAAGTATACTTTCCTATTTTTAGTTTAAAAGAAGTATACTAATAGCACACCTGAATAAACGTCTTTTTCGTAAGGGATACCTTGGTGAGGTTTTTGAGGATAACAGCGTACAGTCTGTTTCTGCCTCGATCGTCTTGACCTCTATCTGTTTTGAACTCCAGAAAAAAACGCGCGCTCGTTTCCACTGACCCGGATCCGCTCTGCGACTGTAGTTCCCACCCACTGAAACCGCGCCCGGGGTCAGCTGCTGTCTGGGCTCTGAGCAGATCAGTGAAGTTCATCCACTGGGATCACAAGGAAGCAGATGTGATTCTGTTGTTCTGAATTAATTGAATCAGCTTTGTCTCAGATCATCTCTCCAGATCTTCAAGAAGTAAAGCTTCATCCTTCATCATCAGGTCTGAGTGCTGCAGCAGAGCGTCCATCATGTGAGAGAGATGCTGCTCCACACTGGAGATCTTATGAGAAACTCAGCGTTCAGGAGAGAAACTGAAGGACAGTCTCCTGCAGAACAAGCTCACCTGTGCAGATGCCATACTCCTACATCTATACCTGTGTCTGGAAGGTGTTGTCTTCAGGAATCAGTGAAGAGCCTGCCGTAAGCTTCCTCCATCCTCCATAAGCTTCTTCAGTCCAAAGATAAACACCAGATGATGGAGACATTGATCACTGAATAGATCACATTTAATATTAAATAAATGTGTTTTACCTCTTCATTGGTCGACATTTTATTCCATAATGTTACACAGTTTTGATACTGTTTTATGTCTGATGATCGTGTTAGAATACATGTGGAAGCATCTGTTGTTTCGGTTTCTTCTTCACTTGTGTTTTTTGGAAATTCTGTACAGATGTGTACTAGCGCCCTCTACAGTATAACAATGAAAACACGGATTCTAGGAGCACAATTATAGCTAAAATATATTTAGACTTTTTCTAAGTATAAGTCAAGTATACTTAAATGTCATTTTAAGTGTATTTCTGAGAAGTACATAAAAAGTAGACTAAAAGTATACTTTCCTATTTTTAGTTTAAAAGAAGTATACTAATAGCACACCTGAATAAACGTCTTTTTCGTAAGGGATACCTTGGTGAGGTTTTTGAGGATAACAGCGTACAGTCTGTTTCTGCCTCGATCGTCTTGACCTCTATCTGTTTTGAACTCCAGAAAAAAACGCGCGCTCGTTTCCACTGACCCGGATCCGCTCTGCGACTGTAGTTCCCACCCACTGAAACCGCGCCCGGGGTCAGCTGCTGTCTGGGCTCTGAGCAGATCAGTGAAGTTCATCCACTGGGATCACAAGGAAGCAGATGTGATTCTGTTGTTCTGAATTAATTGAATCAGCTTTGTCTCAGATCATCTCTCCAGATCTTCAAGAAGTAAAGCTTCATCCTTCATCATCAGGTCTGAGTGCTGCAGCAGAGCGTCCATCATGTGAGAGAGATGCTGCTCCACACTGGAGATCTTATGAGAAACTCAGCGTTCAGGAGAGAAACTGAAGGACAGTCTCCTGCAGAACAAGCTCACCTGTGCAGATGCCATACTCCTACATCTATACCTGTGTCTGGAAGGTGTTGTCTTCAGGAATCAGTGAAGAGCCTGCCGTAAGCTTCCTCCATCCTCCATAAGCTTCTTCAGTCCAAAGATAAACACCAGATGATGGAGACATTGATCACTGAATAGATCACATTTAATATTAAATAAATGTGTTTGCAAATATATTTACACTTTGACATGAAAATTTCTTCCAGTACAAAAAGAACGAGACACACGCAGTGGTTTGATTCACATCTCCTCCTTCTTCACAGTTTATTGGTAAAATACACATATGCTCTTCTTGTTATGCATATTCACTGAGTTTAGATTAAAGACTCTCAGAAATGATTGAATAAGCAAATGGACAGATTATCACAAGGCCTCCTGCTTCAGTTTATCATTTATGTACAGTATATGGTCTTTTCAAGGCCAAATGTATCTGTCAACTGATAAAAACACAGCAAACCCTTTGTGCAATTGAGCATTTTCACAGAAATTGTATTAAGCATGGACTTTACTTGCATTAAAAAGGCTTATTTCTGCTATTTGTAAATGTAAGCTATTATTTTAAATGATAGAGAAGTGCAAACTGGGTGCTTAATGCAATTGTGATTGGCAACATTTACCAAATCAGGCGATTATGTTCGCTTATGAATGCAAATTTCTCTTTATGTATAGAGACAAAATAACGAGGTTAATCGCTGTCTGTCAGTTTATAGTGATCATGTAGATTTTCAAATACACTGATGAATGGTACACCACAAACATCTTTTGGGTTTATTTCTCATCAAAACAACTTTATGCAGGAAATATTAAACATGAACATATAGCTGGTATTAGTATCAGAAACTTTTGAAGATGACTTTGAACTTTATTTACTGTGAAAACTATAGATAATGTTTCTTTGCCATGTTGCTTGCAATTACTTGATTTATCCAGATGATATTTTTTATTGCTTGATTCATTATTGTGTCACATTTGGTGAGAAGGCAGCATCAGATCTGATGATCTACTTACTGTGATAGTTTTTTGTATGTTTGTGTAGATCAGATGAATGATTGAAACACTTCCCACATGCAGTGCAGTGATACGGTTTCTCTCCAGTGTGGATCCTCTCATGTGTTTTCGGCATGGTACTGCTCGGTACGGTTCACTTTTGGGGGGTTTTCCACTGGGTACAATACCTGGTACCTGATACTTTTGTTAGTACCACCTCGGTTGGGGTTCCAAGCGAACCGTACCGTTACCAAACGTGATGTATAAACTCTGCTGATCACGGATTGGCCGGAGAGAATCGTCACTACCTGCGTCACTGAACTTGCGACACAAACACAAAAGAACTGCTAGACTTAAATCAGCACATCCAGCGAACGCAACTGTTTTGAACGTGCGAACCTTTTTTTAACAAACAAAAAGTTTTGTTGTCTGTTGAGGAAGTACAGACGTTCCTCTCGTTGATAGCAGAGGAGCGGATCCAGCGAGAGCTTGAT